AGTCTATTGTAGAAAGAATTCTCAAATAGATGTATGAAGAATTCCTACCTTTCACTCAGTAGCCTCGTTCAACCAGACTCTTAGTCTACACACGCTTGAATTACAAAGTGACCAAGCGGCTGGTTGAACAAGACTTTGATTAAATAGTGGTAACGCACACGGACAGGCATATTTCATATATCTGATATAACAGATTTCCTCGATACTCTATGGATTATGCGCACTATCTCGTTTCCACCGCTGTGACATATCATGACAAAATTGAAGGTTCCGTGTGCGACACCTAGTGGACAAAACGGGAAGACTAGTTTGACTACTTGAAGTACATCAAGCGAATATCCAGGTCGCAGAACGGTAAGTGCACTGGCTTTGAAGTTGGATGTTTCTTCTTTTGTAATCTTTCAAGGAGCGAAGCACTCTGTGATTGGTCAGTTTTTTTTCTCATGAAACCCTATCTAAACCAATTAAATTACTTCGCTTGTGCCTTAAGTTTTGCCAGGGGTGCGGAGAGCAAAGTGACCGCAGTATCAGTCGGTATTTCTAGAAAACACGTTTTGTAATAAGCCTTTGAATATTTAATTAACTGCCATATTTAGACATTGTAGATTTTGGTTGGAAGAAGGATTACTGCAATCTTGAAATGGAAAATTCACTTATAAAGAAAACGAAATCACCGCGCTTGTCTTACAGCTGAGTTGAAAGTTATCCTGTTGAACGAGTTGTAACGAAAATATCAGCGTTTCAACAGAATGGTAGAAATGAAAATAAGGCAAAATATGAACAAAAGAAAGATTCTAACGGAGACTTCTAAAAACCACTTGGTGAAGACCGGGTGCTTCGGAAGAGTAAGCGTTTTCTGCTTCATTGACGGCATCGCTATATAAATCTTATAATGTTCGAGATCCTTGTAAGCGTTTTCCTTTACGGGAGTATGTCGCATCATAGATTCCTAATTCAGGTAGTGGAGACGAAACCATTCATGAATTTAATATTTAAAATGGAGGACTTGGCATTCATAAGCTCTGAATACTGCCTTATACGAAAGCAAACTCAAGTCAGTTAAACGAGGGGCATATTGCCCTTGCGTATGTCGATTGCCTGTGGCAAGATCTTACACAAAACTCAACAAATTTATTGTTAACCAGGAATTCGATTATTCAGGTGATTTAAACCTCAATGTATTTCCTTTTTGATTTTGACTTTCTTTCCACAAAGTACGCTCCAGCATAATTCGCAATCATATACACCTGTTTTTGAAAAGAAAATTACAATCACAAGAGAATATACTCGACCGTTTAGTTTGAAATAAGGTATAGTAAAACACCGAATGGTTAAAAAACGATTTTTTTTTATAGAAGAGGCGTTCATCCAAATCGACATTCCATTTATTCCACTTATTCAAGTACACAATACGATTATTCATGACCCCGATTCTCTATACAATGTACTAAGAATGGGAAAATTGAATAAAGGTAAGATTGAACATCCAGACGAGCCAGCAACGAAACATTGTAATCCAATCTAAACAAGGAGGGTCGGTAAGCTGGTAATAGGAATGACTGTGATATTGAAGCCCGATTAGCAAGTATTTCGTCTTTGAAAAAGTTCAATAACAAGCATCTACTGTTACTGTGTTTATTGAGTAAGATTGTTTTAAGGTAGCACAGTGATAGTGTTTGTAGACAAGCATCAGGTTATTGAATGATTATCTGCAGACACATTCTCATTTCTATGCAAAAATGGTCTTGACTTCGAGATCAATGGGTGCAGATTTATGCTGTGCTTTCAATCTAAATTTCAAAATGCTTATCTTTTACGAATGATAGACCGGATGAATTTATCCACTCTGAACGTGAATATAGCTTGCTTGAGTTAACTTTGGCAAGTTATGAAAATCAATTGACCGATTGAAGACAGGAACAATATATACCCTTATTTCAAACATCGTGGAGTGTGGAATAAAATCTTTAAACTAAATAATTAGCTGTGTTCTTTTGTTCATCACGTCAACTCAAATATGAAATTCAAGATACTAATGGATTTTGGGACAAATCACGCCTGTCGATGGCGAAAATGAGAACACGCTAAAAATGATACACTGTCATAGAGAACTTAAATGGTCAGAGTCGTGTTACCGTGATTATACGTTAAAGTTAATTTGATAAAATCACGAATATGCTGTGGACTCTCGCGATAGAAATCAAATAATGACGGACACAGTTTGAATCTGAGAGTCCAAGGGTTGATGGGGAAACATCGTAGTTTTAATATTACGAGGAAACCCGAGTAGGCCCTTTTCCTTGTATCGATATGAATTTATAATGTGTGTGTTTTTTTGTTTTTTGTTTTTGTTTTTGTTTTTTTTTTTTGTTTTTTTCATTATGTTCAATTGGGTAGAAGTCATTAACATATGAAACGTTTCTGGCTAACATGGGAATATATATGTAATTACGATTGCGAAAATGCTCTACATGGCGACCGTTTCATACTCATCTGGCGGTCCTAATTTTGATATCTAGCGGTCAACATTTAATATCTGGCGACCATCACACAAGTATTTGTCGGTCGTAACTTTGATAACTAGCTGTCAACATTTAAATATCTGGCGACCGTCACATAATTATTTGTCGGTGGTAACTTTGATATCTTGCGGTCAACATTTTAATATCTGGCGACCGTCACATAATTATTTGTCGAAGATTCCAAGACTACGAATCCTGGGACCCAATCACCATACATGATCCTGAACGCCCCGTTTCAGGAATTACAAGAGATTGATGTCCATTGTGAGCTTGTCTATCGTGATTCGATTGTCTTTTCCTGAAGTTCAACAAGACAATGCCAAGTTTGAAATAAAAATGCTAAAGGGAGACGGGATGAAACAAGGAATTTGAGATAATTGCGGGGTTTGGCGAGACACCCTTTATGAATTCTGGGAAACATGGTAAACTCATACAAGGTGCCTTCACAGTTGATTTTGTGTAGGACCACCAAGTTTGTACCAATGGTAGTGATTATGCTGGATCCATTCATACAATGCCTCAACGTGGCCAATTTCTGTTCCCTGGTTAGCACGCATTCATTTAGAATATGCGCCTCTCGACTTTAGTGCTTTTACATAGTAACTTCCTATCAAGGCCGGATCACCAGATTTTATGTATTAAAACCTACTGCACCATTGTTCGAAAATCCGTACGGTTTTAATTTGTCGCACGAATCCATGTCACATAAAACCTGTCCTTGTCGTAAAATCCTCTCTTAAAAAGTTCCCCATGACGATGTTTTCCTATCCCAAATGGGACGAAGATATAAACGAGCAATATATCTGGCTCTTGGCTGAAGACAAGTCCGTTTTGCTTACATTCCATATGCAGATGCGTGTAGCCGTGTGATTCCATAGATTATTTAAGCAGTTTATATATATATAATCCAAATATTGAATATTAACAGGAGCTTGACATGCTTTTGTACTTTTCCACTCTCGAGCTAATATGGCGGCCATTGAAGAAGTAGAAGACGCTTAATCTTCCAGAACATCTGGTTTCATCGAGTACAGTTTATTGAATGGATGTGTAGTATCCTTTTTCCGTGTTTTTTTTTAAAGTTAATTGACAGTAAGTCGATTTTTTTAGAAACTATTTTTTAATTCACATTGAAGATATTTCTGCATTTTTCAATTCGTATTTATCATTTTTCATAATTTATTTATTTGTCCGTAATTGCTGTTTCCTTTATCTGTTATACTGGTTTTCTAATTGTTATTTGCTTTACATATCGCATCGACTCAGAAATTGTATCAATTTCATGCAAAATGTAATTTCACAAACCCCGCATCCTTACAATTATTAAACACTATCCTCAGTTATATTTATGATGCAGACTGTCAACGTAAAACATTCATTCAGTTCACGAAGTGCGTTATCTCCAAATTAAAAATGTTACTTCCGGGTTTTTCCCCTTGAAACTAATGATATCGTAATATGAATAGCAGAGCTTTTCATCGTTCTTGTTATTACATACACACTGGAGAATATTTCTTGATATAGAGCTATATTGTTCTCGCTTTCTCGCTGTGTCCTCACTCCACGTTCCTCAGACCTATAGGTCGAGGGAGTAAGCCGGTTATACTATCATACGAGACAGTATACACCGTCGGCATACATCGACAGAGCCAAATTCTGGCGTCATTGGAACAGATTTATGGTGGGACTCGACCAGACCGATTCAGAAAGGCGGGAGTTATTTACCCTGCAACTGGCACGGAATAAATCTGCAACAGATTGCTTTACTATATACGGCAGTGAAAGAAAACAGCTGCATTTTAGCACGTGCGTTAATTTCACATGTCTTTCTGACATTCATTAACATGACGTTTATCAAATACATATAAAAAAACATTTTGAAAAAAGAGATTTTATATGTTGTAATGAACAAGTTTATCTACGAAAATACATAAAACCGCTGTCATATCCGTTGAAATGTGGAACTATATTTCTGCGCGGAGCAATATTTTTGGATACGTCATCAGGCAAAATTCAGCGTAACGTCAACGTCAGGTAAACAAAAATTAAAAAAAAAAGTTAAAATATAGATTTTCTTATGGCGAGTCACTTTTGTCTTTCTTCACCTCGCCAAAATACAGCTGATATTTTAAGACTCTGATCATGCATTCTCTATATATGATGCCGTTGAATCGTCCTGTTTATTTATTTGTGTGTTCAGTGTTGGTTAGTGTGGCCGCATGCTGGCTTTAACGTCACCATATCATGGATCAAATTTTGACCTAGATTTACAAGGGAGAGTCATCGATGAATCAGAATGGGCTAACTCTTATAGAGCGCTTGATCTCATCACCTTTTTGTTTTGCAATGTTCTTAGAGTTTCTGTATTTTTTTGTTTTTTTTTTTTGGGGGGGGGGGGGGGGGAATCCAGAGAGTGCACACAAAGGACGAGGAGACGGGAAAAAAGTCTTTAAAATTAATAAAATTTGAAGACACATACCAGTAATATTTTCAGTTGTTTTAATACATTTAGATTATAAATATATATTATATGCACACAGTAGGTAAACTATAATGATACCAATGACATACAGTTGTACATCCTGTTCCAATTTTTTTCAAATCTGAAAGAAACTCCACATTTTTCTATGTGAAAGTTTACTTCAAATATGAGGACAATGCCAACTGGACGTATGATGACCATGGACATTAGATAAATAGTGAATATCAGAAACACACAAGCCATTGTTTGTTGATACACTGAAAAAATATAACAGGGTACACATTGCAGTCAGGGGTTACCTCCCTTGCTAAAACGTGTTGTGTTATCTCCCTTGTTTAACTAGTTGCTTTTTACTACCGCCTCCTCCGCTAAAAATTCGAACAGCAATTTGAAGGCCTGCCACTATCATCAGTACAGCTTTAAGATGTAACAACATATCAAATTTGACATGTGGATAATTGAGATGAAGTTATTAAATATCTCCCAAAGAGTTTTTTTAAAGGTTACAAACTACAAAGCAATTTGTAGCATATTTTTCACTTCGTAAATTTGGTCAGGTTAGTGTGAATTATCAAGATAGTTGAGTCATCACATGTTAACTCTACTGCTTTTTTGCTTAATTATCTGATAAATGCAACAGTTTCATAACACCAACAATAGTCTATAGGAGTCCGGCAAATCTTTAACAGCGGATATATAAACATGTAGATCTTTAATTCAGTTAGTAAGCAGTATGCAGGTTAATTTCTATCCACATATATAAAATTATCTAACAAGTATAACAAATATTGATATTTTTTTCAATTTTTAAAGCTGAAAATTGATGAAAATTTCAAGATAATCCTCCATTGTACCTCTCTATCATAAAACTCGCAACAAAAAGCCCAATAATCTCGTATTGGTCATCGGTCGGATTTTTTGACAAAGTTCACTTAAATAGACCCCTTCCTAAAACTACTTACCTTGGTCATTATACAAAGAGAATTTACATCATTTGAGAGCCATTCATCACAGCATACTATTGGACAAATATGATGATGTATTATACAGGTAATCATTTTCTGAAAATACCTTTGACTTCTGCCTTTGTAATGTCAAGGAAAATTATGCTAATATTTATTTGACTGATATCAAAAATTTAAACCTACATATCTAAACTTTCGGTACTATGTAACCAAAATAAATAACTAAAATATTGTACTATCATGTAAACAATTAACGCTATTTCTATGAAACTGATTTAGTAATTCAAAAATCTAACCCAGTACATTCAGAGCATTTTCAGAAATCAAATCACAAATCCTTTTGGGTCAGAAAAAACCGAGAGCCAAAGCTCTTTTTCAAGGATAAAAAACACACACATTAAAAGATGTAGTGTAATTTGAAAACGTTAGGGTTCTATTTTTGTATAATATCATCCTCTATTCACACTTGGAATATATCATAACATTTAGTTGGTTTAGTACATGTAATCTTATTGGTATCTTGTGTAGAAATTACACCTTAAACTTGGATAAAATCCGTCCTTTGAAGTCGATAGAGATGCTTCGTCATTTTACAATTATACTGACGTAAGGTTATCCAAACACTTATGTTCATCACTGAAACAACACCTGGCGAAAGGAATAGACGTTAGGAAGAAAAACTCAGAAACAGGCTACTGAGTTCTGTCGTTGGTGTCCTTTCATCTTATATCAAAAATGGTATGTATATATACGTTGTGTTGTGACCTTTTCAGCAGGCTAAACAGATGTCCTCCTGTGAGAACGGAAGATTTGGATTTTGACGAGTAAATATGACCGTGTGTTTTCTTTCCTTACTTTTTTACATTTTTGTAGTAATATCTATAGCTTTTGCTATCACATGTGGCACTCATACAAACATAAATGCAATTAAATATGTGAGCAACAACAGATTACTATAAATGAACTTTAAGTAACAATAACCTAGAAATTTGACCCTAGTTTCCTCGATCTGTACAAAAGTAACATCATAAACAATATCTAACATACCATAAAGGAACACATGTATTGACAAATCTTCTGAACACCTGCCTCGTTAGAACAATAGTTTCAGCTAAACAAATATACCTTTACTTATATTAGTTGAACAAAGAGATATATCTGCTATCATAGATAAACAATAAGGCTGTTGAAGTAATGTACCAGATGACTTGTTTGTCTCAGAATTAACACAGTAAAAATGTTTTTTCCCCAAAAAAAATCAAAGGCATAACCTGGCACTAGACTCCCTTTTAACTTCAGAGTGAGTTGACTTGGTAAGCAGTTAATCTATATTAAAAAGTAATAGACTGAATTCTATGTTACTACCCTTTAGGTAGAGACCTTTGTTATATGCAGGAATTTTCACATACTTCAAAATTTTGACAATATTCCTTCAGATTGAGATGAAAATCACTTTGATGTTCATTTATTTACAAAGTCTTATCAGAGATCAAATTTTAAAACAATTCATTTTGTTTGAACCCAATACAGTATACACCATTTATCAAGTAATAAGTCCACACCAGGTAGTATGTAATATCTGATATCTTCAGTTGATTTACAAATAAATTCATTGTCCTGTAAAAAGCCCCCCGATTGACTTTGGGTCTGACGTCATGTTTTTGGCCGCGGGTTTAAAATAAGATAATTACAGTAAAATGAACATATATGTGAGGTCTACAGAAAACCCTTTATTTTACATAAGTATATCTGTGTTAAGATGTCTCAATCTTAATCTATACGGGAGTTTTTCTGAACGCTTGAATTTGGTCCTTTTAGCATGTACTAAAACAAATCTCTGGATGCCCTGAGAGTTCACAAAAGGGAGACAACCACAGTAAAGTAACAGCGGAGAGCCCACAACATGGAGTTACACTTTAGCATCATATACAACATTGATTTGTTTCATGGGTTGTTTACAAATAACTACGTTGGTTCTACTGTCTGAGGACCCTGGTAATCACCACTACATACATATACATATAAATGACACTTATATCATTGGATACAAAGCGTGGTGCTATGGAAACGATACCCTCTAAACCACTTATTGTGGACAAGTCTCAGTTTCACAATTATCATCAAATTTTCCTAATAAAAAATAATGATTTCATAACAGATTATTTATGACCCTTGTTTGATCTTTATTTGTTTTTTGAAAAGTGGGATTTTACCGTTTTCTATGCTTTTCTCTACTCATACTCTTAGTTACATAATTTTTTTTTTTCAACAGTTCAAAAATCAAAAGTCTGCAACTAGAGACCACATATAGCTTCGAGAAAGATTCATCAGGTATTTGTCATCAAAGAGTGATAAACAACTTTCATTATCAAAATCCAAGATGGCCACCTATCACCGATTTTGTTTAACAGATTGATTTTGAGTATTTTTCTATCTGATCAACCCAAATGGCCACAACACTGGACCAGGAAGAACATTCATATGAAATTTCAGAAAAATCCATCCGTTTTTTGAAAGATAGACGGACGATAGACCATACAGAACAATTTGAATAGCCCATCATTTAGTGAGCCAGATGGTAGACTTATAAGCATACAAAATGTTACCTGAAAATATTTCAAAGCCACTTTCATTTGTTTTTAACCTAATTTGAGATTTTTGAAAAAAAATCTAAAATTCTTTTTGAAAAAGTCCACCAATCCAATGAGATCTAACTGTATCTAATTGTGAGGCATCATGCTTATGATAAAAGATAAAAACGAATGTCTTGTAGATCATTCTAGACTTTTCTAACATAGATTTAGTTGTTAGTTTGTACCGATTTAATCCCTTTACTGATACTGTTAAATACTGTCAGCGAATAACAGGCTGTAGACAGTTATAATTTGACCGATCATAATAAATATATGATGAAAATCGTTTTGTAAAAATATCAATTAATTTATCCAAACATAACATATAAAAACTTTTTTTTGAAACGAGATTCTGTTAATGGAGATTACAGTCCATAATTATTGCAGATTTAGTTGTAAAGCCTAATATTCCATACCACAGATGCTGTAAGATGCTTCAAATTTGATGATAACTGTGAAACTATAACTAGTTTCTGTCAAACATTCACATACAATCTCCTTTACATTACAAGACTTCCCGTGATGATGATTTTCCGTTTTACAGCCAATATTTTCCTAGCAGTAACTACCAAAACTGACGAGGTGGCAACAGCCAGAACTGCCCCCGTTCCTCTTCAACATTCTGGATTCACTCAGTCTTTAAAAAAAACTTCACATAAAAAAGTGTCCATTCCAGAAAACTGACTTTTCCCCCAACGGATCACATGTTCATTGCATAAAATACCTTTATACACAAAACATATGGAAAGAATACCAAAAACGTTACATGGTACTTTAGGATAGATAAAATCACATTTACCGTCTTTATACAGATTCTTTTTTCGTATTTTTCTCACCATTTTCATAGATGACATTTTCATGAACACTGATTCCATTTTAGCAAGTGTTGCATTTCACATAAAACTGTGATATATCATTCTACATTCATAAAACAGCAGAAAAATGTATTTTATAACCTTTGAAAACTGTATGTGTATCTGTGAAACTTTGACACAGAGGGAAAAAAGAACCTTTACAAATCTGACATCACTTTCCTGATTTCGTTTCTTCATATAGATCTCATGTTTGATTTTGAAGAGCAGTCAAGGGGGATAACTCCTTCAATTTCTCAGTCCATGTAGAAATGATACACTGAACACATATATGTAATGCTAAGCCTCCGTATCGTCCCCATCATGCCCCTTCAGTCGCAAACGAGCAAAATCTTCAAAGATGAAATCATCGTCACCACTTCGTACACCACTGAAAAAGAAAGTAACACAAAATTATAAAAGTTATCATGATGATCAACATATTATAATCAGACCTATTTGAAGTGTTTTGGGTATGATTATAATTTTGCTACAATTTCTTAAAAACTAGTTGGTAAAAATGAGCAAACCTCAATGGTTGGGACCCCCTCATCCTTAGAAAATGCACTGCTAGGGGGAAATACCATTATTTATGTCTCCATTACTGATTGGCCCATTTCATGTGATAACTTTGTAGAACTTTGTTTTAATTTAAATTACGCACAAATGTGAGAGATCTTATAAGGAAGAAATTTTGATCTGTCAAAGTTACTCCCCTTTGTTTCACTCTATTGAAACAGTATAGTGATAATCTCAGCAGTCAAAAGGTGATGTTACCAGGATGCTGAAAATTGTGAATGAAACAATGCCAAGTAATAGAAAGGGTCATTGAGAAGGGCACCCACTAACCAACCAACCAGGCGGTGGTCAGCGAGAGAATGATGAGTAAGGGGCTATCCCAATCACCTGTTTTGTTATTTCTCTGTTCTCACAGTGTTTACTGATCATTAAATACACTGCTAAATATCAATTGTTTTACAAAGAGGATGATGATGAAATGACTTATGTGTACTTATATTCCACACCAATTAAATTATGATTTATAGCATTTTGATAAACTATTACCGCTTGATACTTATTCCTAAAATTCCCTGAAAATATTTACAGACTCTGTGTGTTCTCCTGGTCTGATCAGTGTCATTAAGATTTAGGAAAATGAAATCAAACCTTTCCTGTCATAAATTATTCTTTTTTCATGGTGATATTCAGAAAAAAAACCCTGTAACAATGGATCTAGCTTGAAATGTTTGTTGGCTTTATCACCCTGAGAACAGCTAGGGACATTTTGAGATAGGATCTTCTTGTAGTAACTGGTAGCTACCTCACTGAACAACATACAAGAGGTCCATCGCATACCATCCAGAGCAATTGACTGAAAGTGTCTAGCCTAAAGACATACCCATGATTACTCATTGGTCCATTTCTCAGCTTCCTGAGAAATACAAACTACTTCAGGGAAGGAGCATTGAACTACGCATCTCGGATCTTCTCCGGACTACATAGATCAACACTCTACCTGATTGAGCTATTACAGCTATTTAACTATTAGACAGTTTGATATGAACATTATCAAACAAATGTTAAAACACCAGAACTTATAACGTCATTTAATCTTCCATTTTTAAATAATATTTCACTGCTATGAAATATCAATTATGTTCAATTCATAAATGTCCAGAAAATAAACTCTTTAAATTTCAAGAAAAAAAAAAAAAAAAAAATTAGATCACATTTTCTTTAATTTAAGATAAAAAAAATCAAATTATCAGAATTTGATACAATTATTTGAAAACCATGAGATTTCATATTGCGATATAACAAAGGATATGACACGTTATTACAAAGGCAATACGGACTGTGATGGGTCGTAGTATATTGTGCTGATGATTATAATATGGGACCAACTTGTTGACAAGAATAAAACCAAGACATTCATAAGGAAAGCTCATATTGACTACGATTTCTTTAAAAAACACATCTGCCGACATCTTTTTCAGTGTTGTAGTACTGTACCATTGGGAAACACTGAACATGCTTCAGAAAAACAAAATCAAATGAATAAATATACTTTAAAACAGAATCGCTCATGAATTGGTGTGAAAAAAAAATTGAACAAAAAATATTATCAAAGATCAACATGGTGTATACATTCGGTGATCTTTGTACGTAACAATGGGGGTCGGCTGCATTCGGGGGACAATTTCACCATAAATTACCGTTAATGGTTCGCATTATTCGGCATTGTCAACATTGACTTCCTGTTTGCTGAAACGAAGGTATCGGCGAAAATAATTTTGGAATATCAACGATGCATTTCTTTATCATATCTATGTAGTAGTCCTTTTTTTCCAACAAATTTATGAAGTACCAGCAAGCTGATTAACATGGAGTTTTTTCTTTTTTTTTCAAAACCAGTTCTATAGTGAAGACCTTATAACAACTACAAGAGTGAGTGTTATCTCCCCTTCCCTACTTTCCAGATACACTGGTCTCAGAAAAAGCTCTGCTTGTTCATCACCCAGCGACAAAGAGTTGTTCCCCTTTGTCGTCAACATACTTAGTGTCCAGTTGGATGAGATTAGTGTCGACAGGTGCGTCCTTTCCGCCATCCTGTTGAGAGAGACTGACTGGGCGAGAAGCGGGTGGGGACTCAGGAGGTTTGGGATGTGTCAGGGTAAACGGCAGCTCCACCGACAAGTCCCTAAAACAACCAAAGAGTGGTCATTATTTCATTCTCATGAGTGTTTCACTTCCACAACAAATCATAGGCAAATCTGCTTAAGTATAATTCTTATATCAGTAACAACACAGCTTGAACAAATCTAAGCATGACATATCAGGTATCAGTCTAGGGGAAAGTACCCTTTTTGTGACTAGGGATAAATAGCCTATATTCCAAAGGGCCACAGGAGGAGTTGGAAAAGGATTTAAAGTTTTTCAGCACTTTGTGTCTAACAATTCAACAGTTTCAGAATAATATAAGATATTTTTCAACCAGAAAATATACAAAATTCCATGAAGTTCTACTCAAAAACAATGAACTAATAGATCAGAAAGTAATTTCTGTTGAAATAAGGGAAATTCAAAGAGAAAAGTGATAATTCGTGTAAAATATATTTTAAGATTCAAGCAGAACGTTTTGTAAGAAGGGAATTTTGGCTGCTAGTGGAGACTACCCAATACTGGTAGTAAAATAACCCTAGATTGATCCTGGCATACCACAATTGTGTTAATAGTGCAATATTACAAATTAGTAAACTTAATATCGACAAAGTATAAGCAGGTGTCGGTGTTGTCAAATATCAGGTCACAGTCACAGTTCAGAGTCAAGGCTGGCTGGATGTTTTTCGTGAGATCTCACAGTAAAACTACCTTATGATCAGTTGTGTTGTATATTTAAGGACACGTGTACTTACCCTGAACCAAATCCAAGAATTAACCTGACCTTGACTTTGTAGGAGACAACAATGCCAAGGTTTTCTTTTTGACTAGAATCTCCCATTCTGAAATTAAAAAAAAAATTTTTTAAACAGGCCTAGGATGCAATTAAGTAATATGCTCACACGATTATTCCTCATAGTCCGTGTTAATCTCTTTACTGATTAATTGATTTGTTAGATACAACATTAGGCCTCTACAGAAATCATATTGAGATTTCTACTGGAAGTTATGTCAATTTTTTATTTATTTTACAGCAATAGCAAAACAAGTTATTCTGATTTATATTAATCACCCTTGTTACCCGTAAGGATACATGCAAGGGGTATTACTGTGGGATGAAACTGGAGTACCTGTGGAAAATCTATGTGGTTGGGCAGATGACCTCTTACTTTTTCACACATGTACGGGGAATTGAACCCTGAATGGCTCAGTATAAGGCGAATGTATTACCACTGCACCACCTAACCACCAGTTACTACTGTGTGTAGAATATGCATCCTCTACATTGTAATCTGTTTCTCCATAACGTCAGCTATGTGTCAGTTTTCAATTCCGGTTCAGAGAGAAAATTCACTTAACTATTCTTTAGTTGAGCAGCTTAAGTGCACAGACATTTTAAATATGTTGAATTTTTCATCTACAGTATCCTTCCTCTGTCATATTGTATATTCATACAGTATATCAACTCTGAAAACACTTAGTCTGCGATGTCAATTCTGTAAACTAGGAGTGAATGACAAAACACAGTGACAATGAAAGTACACATGTAAATGTATACGCACGTATCTGGAGCAAGACTTACATAGTGGAGGAGGCTAAGTTGGTGTCCTCATGTTTGAGTTTGCCATCTAGTGCGAGGCCACGTTTATCCCTGTTGTTGGTTAGGAGGGGCGTACAGTGGTAAACTTTACAGAAACCAGTTTGACTAGGTTGGATAGGAAAGCCTTCTCTGTAAACACAAGCAAGAAAAATCAGTGATCTATGTAGCTGATAAACCATATTCAGATCAATGTATGAAATTTGGCATTTAGGAAAAGAATTTATTTTCCTTCATTATTTCATCTTACCTGTTCCTACATCCTTACAAATTCCACGTTTTAGGTGTACATGTATATATATACAATTTCAATAAGGCTCACTATACATTAATCATGGTACATGAATGCAAGGAAATTTATTGGAAAAATCAAAAACATTTGGCAAAAAGTTTAAAGTCTTTCCCAAAGTGTAAATAATAAAACTTCTAAGGTAAAAGGGTATTTTCATTTAACATAGCTAAAACATCAACAGTCATGATAAATATAATGTATAATTTGATTGCAATTACCCGGTACTTCATTCAAACTGATGGAAAATTATTTTTGAAGATCTACACCTATTTCCCCTATTGGACCCATGTTTCATACACAATTCTGATCTCATCATCCAATGATGCTCCAGACCAAATTTAGTCAAAATCTTGTTATTGGTTCACGATCTTTAGAAAATGTTGACAGATGGACCAGGTACTTTGGACAAGGTGTCGAACAACCAAAGATTAAAATTTTTGAAAGTTTTTTTCCCGTATACTATTCCTACACTAACGGAGAGAGGGACATGTTATTCTGTGGTTAAGTGAACGACACTGTGATTAAAGACTTTACCTGTGTAATATTTTAGATCATTTAGATATATTATTCACTCAACAAACCTTACCTTCATATAAGTATGTTCCTATAATATGGGGAAAATCTATGATATTTTGTCATTAAACTGAAAATATGAACTACTGCCAACGTATGTAAACAATATAAACAAGAAATATTACAGTAGAATCAATTTTAATCATGTGATGAGTCAACTTCTAGAAAATAATTTTTTTTCTTGGTTGTCTTCTTGGAAAAAAACAGAATCTATCAAAATATACATGTGACATTGTGCTGGAAAAATTCAGGGGAAAATCGGCCTACCAGAATTACAGGAAAAATCCCTGATTGATAGAGTTTATAATACATATATATCAAAGTATCTAATTATCCTTTAATTCAGCCTGAGAATATAGAAAACTGCCATACATGTTATCAGCTTACTTGACAATTGATTCACTCAAATTTGTATGATGATTAAACAGTAAAGGTGCACTCAAAAAAAAAGCAAAAAAAAAAAAAAAAATTCTGAGATTTCAAATATCTTAACATGCAATATGATCTGGTATCAATTTGCAAATAGATGTTAAATAAAAAATCTAAACGGATATAGAACATTTATATCTAGCGGTAATATATCTATATATATATATATAAACCATCAAACTATAAAAAAAGAAAATTTGTAAAAAAATCAAAATGTGTTAATAGAAAAAAGTCTAAACTACACAAAATGACTAGCGAAGTTGGCCCCCGTTCTCAACCTCTTATTCATTTTGAAGTTAAATATACTTAACAAAATAAAAAAGCAAGTATATAGAATTTGTAATATTGTTCACTTTCTCTTGTGTATTTCAACTAGAATAAATATAATGGAATCAAAAGAAAATAAATACATAATTTAAATAAATAAATACATAATTTCAATAAATAAATACATAATTTCAATAAATAAATAAATAGCCTATTATTTTAACTAGCATTCTGACTTTAAAAGGGACAAATTAATTACGGGAAGAAAAATCTTAATATGTTAAATGAAAAAGTTTTAAAATATGATATGCTTGGCTGCCATGATGTTTAGGTTTCTAGAGGAAAACAGGTTTACACATAAGATCGGGATTCACACAATCTTTTGATTCTGTGACAGTCAACTTTTCATGCTTTCTGTCTTAAAACAATTTGGTGGGTTTTGTATTCCATGCATCTCTATCATAATCTAGACCTGCCTACGCAATCCTAATTATTTCATCAAGAATTTCAAAGTTCATATTTCCCATAATGTTATGGAAACTGACAATGTTTTAAAAATTTTAAAAGTATTTGTGGAAATTAAGACAGTGGGCGAGACTTCTTCGTGTCAAACAAATTCACAATGACATTTCAGATTTCTATGACTGTAAATGTCAAGCATTCAAAAGGAGCTTTTAGAAGATTTTCTTTTAATAACATAAGCTTTAAAACATCAGCTTTGGAAAAACTCCTTTTCCATTGGAATACTATCTAGAGACCTGATCAAATAAATTGAATTATATCGATTTTAAGTGATAATATGTCGCAAACAAGGGCAGATAATCCAAATTTCTTCTTCAGTAGCCTAATTATTTCCCACGCCCTGACTGGTCAAAATACTTCTCAAAGGTCTAAATAACATGTGATACAACAGGCATCATTGTGCAAGGTGATAAAAACAGTCTGACACCCAGTCTGACATCTGAAAGGTGAATATTACAATCTAGTTACCTGTGAAACACAGATTTTAGTGAAACAGTATAATTAAAGAATCATTGACATGTTTTCAGGTAAATACAAAAATTTATAAACCCTTTGATGTGATATTTTCCTTGTCCAGAGAGTATTCATCCAAAAAACGGTCAATAACTGTATTGTATTTTTAGCTAGTATATAAATGTCTTACGTATTATAATTTATGTAAGATAACCAAGGTGTATTTTATTCTACAAAAATGACTGATTACTGTTTTTTCTAACAGTTAATAAGAGTAACTTAAAGTTGGAAAACCTCTGTAAAACATAAAAAAATGTGACCTTTGACTCTTTAACCTTAATCATTCAACCAATGACAATCTTAATTCAATTAGGACATGAATAGACAAATGTGCATTGGTGACACTATATAATCCACATCCCCTCCCCTCCCCCCTCTCCTAAGTATATCCGACCTATTGATTCAATCACATTCACTACCATAGAGGTCCCCTGACATTCTATTGTTAATATTTACTAGTTATGTGATTAAAACAACCGGGTACTAACATGTTTTATTTCTGCAAATTCAAAAAGGGACAAAACAAAAATTCAAATGATTTCAAATACCTTGCTCTCACCATTTTAGACTTTGACCTATAATTAAGACAAAGGTCAAAGGTTATCTAACATGTTGTTTAGCTCACTGACTTCAAACCTCTTACCAAATTTTAACTTTTTTCTAAAATTGTCAAAATTCAATTTTAACAGAAACTACAGCCAGAAAAGTCTTCAGGATAATCCATCCTATGCGGGCTTGACTTAAGAGTATACCAAAATTTTTTTTTTTAACATAATGAAACTTTGTTCTACATTCTTTGAAAATAAAAACTGCAAACAAGACAGTATATCGCAAAGAATTCAGTTATGCATCAGTGAACACACACAAAAAAAAAAATTATATTATCAAAGGGACATAACTCTTGAAACCAAGCATGTTGGCCTCATGTTTGTGTATTCTGCATACAAAATTTTGCAATCATTAGTGAAAGAGTATATATGTCTCAGACAAGATAACAAACTATACTGTCAGTCTAGAGACAGAGTGAGAAATTCCCTGCAGCAGTACTGTAATGAACTAGTATCATAAATAGCTGCAAATTATCTGACACAAGGTAAAAAGGCCTTGTTTTACTTCTAAATCCTGATTTTTCTTCCTAATTTATTTGCTTTCTTTTTTATTGTAATTTCTATCATCATTTTCTTATTTACAAATGTTTCCAATTTGATCATTAATATGTAACGATCCGCAGGTTACAGATTTAAATCACCTGTCATAATTGTAAGTGTGATACATACACTTTTATATATACGTGTCACCTGGAATCCCAGGTTCATATCAGCGGGGATGGAAAGATAAATAAATGAATCAAATTAAGAGGCTATGAAGATGTTAAATTGATTCAGTAATATAACATAATATAAAGAAAAAAGTGGCACATTTTTAATACAAAAATACTTAGAATTGTGTAGATCCATGATTGTTAAACTCTATTAATTGAAGAGATACAGTTTTAAGTAGCTATGTTGTACATCGAAGAAACACAAAAGCTTATTTTAATGGTTTTTGAGAGACAAAGAGACAAAATATAACTTACTCGCTTTCCATGTCTGCTACTGTGCATTTATACTGCGCAGTTGAGAACAAACAAATATCAGCAAACTGTCGTACTGTGCAGGGAACAGAAACCATCATTGTTATATACATCACGAGAAACACCAGGCTATAAATAGACATGTTCCCTGTTCACGGTAACCGTGTGTAAACATTGATACTACTTCACATTGTGATCACAAATTTCCTCCTTCTTACCGTCCTGATCCAATTGATATACCATTTTTTTTTTTAAAATGACAAACATTTGTCTTTCATTCTTAAAATGTCAAATTATTTCAAAATAAAATTTTGCAGATTTTTAAATTGTTGTTTTCCTTTCCTTTTTTTTTTTTTTGAAGGTTTTTTTCCGATTCAGAAACCTAATCATTCTGTAATAAGTCAGAAGGAAACATGTCATTTGGCCTGTATCAGGTTCACACAAGCTTAAACCAATTCAAAATTAAAAGTGAAGAAATAAAAAAAATCCTTACTGACAAACAGATGATTGTCATTCACAACAGAACACCCACTACTGCCTTGTGAAATACGAGTCCTCACACCTGACAAACAAATGCTATGATATTACGTCTGACTAGGCGGAACCATCTGTCTGACTGCTCTATACCTAACTCACTGTAATGTTACTGGCTATCTCAGATTAATTTGGTTTCAGCCACAAAACAATTTTGTTTATCCAGGAGATTTCCTAAGATTCCTTTATCATTTTCCTTCGTAAAGTCTGTTGATTTCTTATCCAAAAATTTCTTATCAAAGTCTTAAGATTCATTATCCAACTGACAGTTTCAAAATTCTAAAGTCTTAAGACTCTTTATCCAACAGTTCCCTTTCTAAAGTCTTAAGACTCTTTGTCCAATAGTTCCCTTTCTAAAGTCTTAAGACTCTTTGTCCAATAGTTCCCTTTCTAAAGTCTTAAGACTCTTTGTCCAACAGTTCCCTTTCTAAAGTCTTAAGACTCTTTGTCCAATAATTTCCTTTCTAAAGTCTAAAGCCTCTTTGTCCAATAGTTCCCTTTCTAAAGTCTTAAGACTCATTGTCCAATAGTTTCCTTTCTAAAGTCTTAAGACTCTTTGTCCAACAGTTCCCTTTCTAAAGTCTTAAGACTCTTTGTCCAATAGTTTCCTTTCTAAAGTCTTAAGACTCTTTGTCCAACAGTTTCCTTTCTAAAGTCTTAAGACTCTTTGTCCAATAATTTCCTTTCTAAAGTCTAAAGCCTCTTTGTCCATCCGTTTCAAATTTCTAAAGTCTTAAGACTCTTTGTCCAAAGTACCCTTTCTTAAGTCTTAAACTCTTTGTCCAACAGTTTCCTTTCTAAAGTCTTAAGACTCTTTGTCCAATAATTTCCTTTCTAATGTCTAAAGCCTCTTTGTCCATCAGTTTCAAATTTCTAAAGTCTTAAGACTCTTTGTCCAATAGTTTCCTTTCTAAAGTCTTAAGACTCTTTGTCCAATAATTTCCTTTCTAATGTCTAAAGCCTCTTTGTCCATCAGTTTCAAATTTCTAAAGTCTTAAGACTCTTTGTCCAAAGTACCCTTTCTAAAGTTCGAAGATTTTTGTCCAATAGTTTAAAATTTACAAAGTCTTAAGACTCCTTGTCCAATAGTTCCCTTTCTAAAGTCTTAAGACTCTCTGTCCAATAGTTTCCTTTCTAAAGTCTTAAGACTCTTTGTCCAACAGTTCCCTTTCTAAAGTCTAAAGCCTCTTTGTCCATCAGTTTCAAATTTCTAAAGTCTTAAGACTCTTTGTCTAAAGTACCCTTTCTAAAGTTCGAAGATTTTTGTCCAATAGTTTCAAATTTCTAAAGTCTTAAGACTCTTTGTCCAACAGTTCCCTTTCTAAAGTCTAGAGACTCTTTGTCCAATAGTTTCCTTTCTAAAGTCTTAAGACTCTTTGTCCAATAGTTTCCTTTCTAAAGTCTTAAGACTCTTTGTCCAACAGTTTCCTTTCTAAAGTCTTAAGACTCTTTGTCCAATAATTTCCTTTCTAAAGTCTAAAGCCTCTTTGTCCAATAGTTTAAAATTTACAAAGTCTTAAGACTCCTTGTCCAATAGTTCCCTTTCTAAAGTCTTAAGACTCTCTGTCCAATAGTTTCCTTTCTAAAGTCTTAAGACTCTTTGTCCAACAGTTCCCTTTCTAAAGTCTAAAGCCTCTTTGTCCATCAGTTTCAAATTTCTAAAGTCTTAAGACTCTTTGTCTAAAGTACCCTTTCTAAAGTTCGAAGATTTTTGTCCAATAGTTTCAAATTTCTAAAGTCTTAAGACTCTTTGTCCAACAGTTCCCTTTCTAAAGTCTAGAGACTCTTTGTCCAATAGTTTCCTTTCTAAAGTCTTAAGACTCTTTGTCCAATAGTTTCCTTTCTAAAGTCTTAAGACTCTTTGTCCAACAGTTTCCTTTCTAAAGTCTAAAGACTCTTTGTCCAATAATTTCCTTTCTAAAGTCTAAAGCCTCTTTGTCCATCAGTTTCAAATTTCTAAAGTCTTAAGACTCTTTGTCCAAAGTACCCTTTCTTAAGTCTTAAACTCTTTGTCCAACAGTTTCCTTTCTAAAGTCTTAAGACTCTTTGTCCAATAATTTCCTTTCTAATGTCTAAAGCCTCTTTGTCCATCAGTTTCAAATTTCTAAAGTCTTAAGACTCTTTGTCCAAAGTACCCTTTCTTAAGTCTTAAGACTCTTTGTCCAAAGTACCCTTTCTAAAGTTCAAAGATTCTTTGTCCAAAGTACCCTTTCTAAAGTTCGAAGATTCTTTGTCCAACAGTTTCCTTTCTAAAGTTCAAAGATTCTTTGTCCAACAGTTTCCTTACTAAAGTCTTAAGACTCTTTGTCCAACAGTTCCCTTTCTAAAGTTCGAAGATTCTTTGTCCAATAGTTTCCTTACTAAAGTCTAAAGCCTCTTTGTCCATCAGTTTCAAATTTCTAAAGTCTTAAGACTCTTTGTCCAATAGTTCCCTTTCTAAAGTCTAAAGCCTCTTTGTCCATCAGTTTCAAATTTCTAAAGTCTTAAGACTCTTTGTCCAAAGTACCCTTTCTAAAGTCTTAAGACTCTTTGTCCAAAGTACCCTTTCTAAAGTTCAAAGATTCTTTGTCCAAAGTACCCTTTCTAAAGTTCGAAGATTCTTTGTCCAACAGTTTCCTTTCTAAAGTTCAAAGATTCTTTGTCCAACAGTTTCCTTACTAAAGTCTTAAGTCTCTTTGTCCAAAGTACCCTTTCTAAAGTTCGAAGATTCTTTGTCCAACAGTTTCCTTTCTAAAGTTCAAAGATTCTTTGTCCAACAGTTTCCTTACTAAAGTCTTAAGTCTCTTTGTCCAACAGTACCCTTTCTAAAGTTCGAAGATTCTTTGTCCAACAGTTTCCTTACTAAAGTCTAAAGACTCTTTGTCCAAAGTACCCTTTCTAAAGTTCAAAGATTCTTTGTCCAACAGTTTCCTTACTAAAGTCTTAAGTCTCTTTGTCCAACAGTTTCCTTTCTAAAGTTCAAAGATTCTTTGTCCAACAGTTTCCTTACTAAAGTCTTAAGTCTCTTTGTCCAACAGTACCCTTTCTAAAGTTCGAAGATTCTTTGTCCAATAGTTTCCTTACTAAAGTCTTAAGACTCTTTGTCTAAAGTACCCTTTCTAAAGTTCGAAGATTTTTGTCCATCAGTTTCAAATTTCTAAAGTCTTAAAACTCTTTGTCCAAAGTACCCTTTCTAAAGTTCGAAGATTCTTTGTCCAACAGTTTCCTTACTAAAGTCTTATCTTTATCAGATTCCATTACAACTTTATTTGAAATGAGCATAACACATAAACAGGTATTACCAGATCAGACTTTCTAGCTGAAGAGCAGTATTTTTATCCATTGTGAATGACAAACAACATTGCTTGACAGTAGCAATGGTTATATATAGATGCCTTGGGAGTCAGGTGACGATCATGTGATTTCTGTATACTTTACATACACTCATGAACCAAGCTTACAAACTGTAACAAACATGGTACATAGCCTTGCCAAACCAGTGTAGTTTTACATGCAGAAAATGGTCAACATTATTTTCTGAACAAATTTCTGATTCCAGTTATTGTCACAGTGTGTAAATTGATTCCCCAAGTGTTTTTGTCTAGGTTGATAATCAGTACAAATCCAAATATAATAAAACACATATATAGATGTAGATAACATATAAAAGGACATCAAAGTAGTGCAATATTTCATATATAATTGTCAGTGAGAAAAGCATATTCATCCAAAAATTCTTTTTCGCAAAAGAAAACTGAAGCTGAACTTCCCAAATCCTGGTTACAGTGTACCGGTGACCTCAACAACTGATTTTTCATGCTTTTCAACATCAGATAGATAGTGTCTTAGAGGGACCTCATGCAGATCCATACAATCATGACTAGATATAGGTATATAGAGGTTACACCAGTCTAGATGATATATACATAATATACATTTAAGCACCAGTTTACATTTGTAGGGAAGAGTTACATCAGGGGGCGTAATTCAAGGGCAAGGATAACACTGAAGGGAAGCCACCAAAATCAAGTACACCTGGGAATTATATAGAAATTCTGATGGCCTACAAATACTATATAGAGATGTACAGATTATATGTTAAAATGTCCAAGAATGTGTGCTAGTTATTATACTATTGTTTAGGCCTAATCTGTATACACTAGATATCTACAGATATTTTCTAAATGTCATAGGTCTCATAGTTAGGGGATATTTGAGATCACTGAACATTTCTCCATCTTAATGTCCCAGGTCTGTAGAAAGAATGAAGGATACTTGGAGTATACAACATATTTTGTCAAAGTCACTGATCTATTTAAAGATTCAAAAGATACACAATGTACACTTTCATATAACAATCTGGCTTTTTTTTCAATTAAATAATTTGGCCTTTGATAAATCAATTACTTAAGGAACCTAGTTTACTGATAAGGTCAAAGGTTACCTCTGCTAAAACAGATATTATTAGGTTATGTTCCTCGTCCTTGTCTTGTTTTGTCAAATACCTTGGAACTTCTAATGTCTAAATATAGTACCAATGGTAATATAGGGAGTGTGATAATGATAGCAGGGTGTTCGTGAGAGGGGTAAAAGGCTAGGAATTCGGAGAATACAATCAAGGGTTAGTTTTATACGGGGGCTCCAACTCACTTCGGCTCTATAACCGACACATCTTCATCATTGAATGTTTGCTCATACAGACTGAACTCTGCATGCTGGAAAACTGTTCATAACAAAACAATCATCAATGGTATTAAGTTAATTTTGGGGAGCACAAGATGTTCTATTTTTATTCTAGTTTCACTTTCCCTGCAGTTATCACTAGCACCTGCTCTCACTTAGTCAACAGACAACTTTTGATTAAATAGAGGAGATACTCTTTCCTACACAAAGTTTGCAATTAAAACTGTATCAATTACAAAGACAAATCACAGACTGCAGCATATTTGAGTAAAATCCAGCAGTTCATATTAATAGGACCTTTGGACAAACCCAAAATATAGCTATCATCAAATCCCATTCATTATATTATTACTAAACCCAATCCAAAGACTCAATCAATGTCCTTTAAAGGTTTTAAAGTTGATGCAAGTTTTAACAAAGAGAAATTTAATTTAAAACAGAGAAATAACACTCATAACATCAAGAGCCAATCAGAACTGATACACAAACAGCCAATACATTGACAGTCAATAAGGACTATTACACCAACAACCAATCAGAACTTTGACACCAACAACCAATCAGAACTTTGACACCAACAAAGAACTATATCAGCAACCAATAAGAAATATGACATCAACAACTGTGACAAACAGCTAGAACTAATTTAGCCACAAACAACCAATCAGAACTAATATACAACAGGATCTTCTAGCCTTAACAGTCACCTGAATTCCAGGAACAAAGAATTAAAATCACAATATATACCTGGTACAGGTATGACCCTAAACAACCTGTATGTGACACTCAGAGAAAGCATTGGGTAAGGACATGGTGTTTTTGTGTGACATTAGATACTAAAAAATGAGTTTTACTACTTACAAGTGTTGATGACCTTTGACCTTGTGACCTTGAAACTTAAATTTTGCATTATTCCCTACAACTTTCAAATGCATTCATATAAACAAAAACATGACAATTTTGGATAAATTGGCAGTTCTTCTTTTAATGACTTCTGACTGTGTGACCTTTAATTGAAATGACCCTTGACCATGTGACCTTAACACTTTGCAAACAAAATCTTTGCATCATTTCCTAAAATTTTCAGTTGCACTAATTGGCATTTTCAACTAATTTAGTATTTTGGCTTTGACCCAAATTGCACCACTGCTGAAGGTCACTTCAGAAATAACAAAAATTGCAAATTTGCAAGATTAACTCTTTGGTATTTCAACCATATTAAGCACATACTTCGGTCATCTCCCAGCAGAGAAGAAGATTTAAAAAAAAAAAATCCAAGCTTATTCACTGTTTCTGCCCTGCCCTGTGGGTCCCTGTAGGGTGGGGACATGGAATTTTGCAATTTTGATGATGTGTCATATATTGATGATAGATGTATTTAGTTTGCATCAGTCTAACAGCTCTTGAGAAAAAGTTGAAAATGTGAAACTTCAATGGATGATGAACCACCACAGACAAAATAGCTGATCAGGAGCCTGTGACTTAGGTGATCTAATAAGCCAGTTAGAATCAACGTACAAACAGCCAATCTGCAACTTTCCATTCAGCATTTCCATACACACCAAACACATCAAAACCAGTGACCTAGAGTGAGTTGTTGGTTAATGTGTCACATGTTATTATCTGGATACAAACCAGGAGAGAAGAGGGGACATATGTACAGTTACACCGGATATAATGATTTCTACTTTTGGGAGTATTTAGGTCAAGTTGGATCTTCTCAATTCTAATCTTATTCCTTCCTCCATTCTTGGTCTAAATAACAAGAAATTTGAAAATTCTACTAAGAAAAAGTGATTTCAAACTTTCCTTGTCGCAATCCAAGATGGCTACCTCTTTCCGGTCAGCCATTTTGTTTTTCTAATCAGTCCTAAAATCAAAATGCAAAACTTTGGTACCTGCATAAGATATTTGAGAAAGATCCATCCACTACTCCAGAAATGGTATAACAAACTTTCAATGTGAAAATCCAAGATGGCTGCTTGTCAGCCATTTTTCTATTCTCATTAGTCCTATAATCAAAGATGCACAGCTACAAACCATGGGAAAATGTACATATGAAGTTTCAGAAAGATTCATCCAGTCCTTCTCAAGAAAAATCAATAACAAACTTTCACTGTCAAAAGCTAAGATGGCCACTGGCCAGCCATTTTGTTTTTCTGATCAGTCCAAAAATTAATGGGGCACAACTAGGGGCCAAGCCAAGGGGAACCTAAAAATGAAATATGCATTAGATTCATTTGGCACTTCCTGTGAAATGGCAATAACAAGGATTGTTTACAGATGGACAGATGTAGGAATATCTAAATAGCTTAATAAAATAAGTTTCTATCACCTTGATTATTTTGATCACCTACATAATTGTAACCTGAAAATCTCACCTGAAATCTTTATTTTCTTCACCGTCTTGTTGGTATTGTTATCCACAAGAACATTGACAGCAATATTTTCACCATGATAGTATTTCTACAACAGAAGTTTCACGTCAAATTGTTAATTCAGTGTCCAAAAGTCCCATCAAAATTTCTATCAACTCCTTGTCTAATGAAATCTTTGGCTTAATATTCATGATACTTGATATAAAATAACCAGGCATTTCTCTGTCAAAATGGAACCTCTAATTTGACACTGCCTAACATATCACAGAGTACTTCATCAAGGTAAACTCTCTAACTTTACATTACCAGGACTTACTTCTCCATCAAGGTAAACTCTCTAACTTTACATTACCAGGACTTCTTATCAAGGTAAACTCTCTAACTTTACATTACCAGGACTTCTTCATCAAGGTAAACTAAACTCTCTCAAGGTAAACTTTACTTTACATTACCAGGGACTTCTTCATCAAGGTAAACTCTCTAACTTTACATTACCAGGACTTCTTCATCAAGGTAAACTCTCTAACTTTACATTACCAGGACTTCTTCATCAAGGTAAACTCTCTAACTTTACATTACCAGGACTTACTTCTTCATCAAGGTAAACTCTCTAACTTTACATTACCAGGACTTCCTCATCAAGGTAAACTCTCTAACTTTACATTACCAGGACTTCTTCATCAAGGTAAACTCTCTAACTTTACATTACCAGGACTTCTTCATCAAGGTAAACTCTCTAACTTTACATTACCAGGACTTCTCCATCAAGGTAAACTCTCTAACTTTACATTACCAGGACTTCTTCATCAAGGTAAACTCTCTAACTTTACATTACCAGGACTTACTTCTACATCAAGGTAAACTCTCTAACTTTACATTACCAGGACTTACTTCTCCATCAAGGTAAACTCTCTAACTTTACATTACCAGGACTTACTTCTCCATCAAGGTAAACTCTCTAACTTTACATTACCAGGTAAACTCTTCTCCATCAAGGTAAACTCTCTAACTTTTTACATTACCAGGACTCTCTAACTTTTCTCCATCAAGGTAAACTCTCTAACTTTACATTACCAGGACTTACTTCTTCATCAAGGTAAACTCTCTAACTTTACATTACCAGGACTTACTTCTTCATCAAGGTAAACTCTCTAACTTTACATTACCAGGACTTCTTCATCAAGGTAAACTCTCTAACTTTACATTACCAGGACTTCTCCATCAAGGTAAACTCTCTAACTTTACATTACCAGGACTTCTTCATCAAGGTAAACTCTCTAACTTTACATTACCAGGACTTACTTCTCCATCAAGGTAAACTCTCTAACTTTACATTACCAGGACTTACTTCTCCATCAAGGTAAACTCTCTAACTTTACATTACCAGGACTTACTTCTCCATCAAGGTAAACTCTCTAACTTTACATTACCAGGACTTACTTCTTCATCAAGGTAAACTCTCTAACTTTACATTACCAGGACTTACTTCTCCATCAAGGTAAACTCTCTAACTTTACATTACCAGGACTTACTTCTCCATCAAGGTAAACTCTCTAACTTTACATTACCAGGACTTACTTCTCCATCAAGGTAAACTCTCTAACTTTACATTACCAGGACTTCTCCATCAAGGTAAACTCTCTAACTTTACATTACCAGGACTTACTTCTCCATCAAGGTAAACTCTCTAACTTTACATTACCAGGACTTACTTCTCCATCAAGGTAAACTCTCTAACTTTACATTACCAGGACTTACTTCTCCATCAAGGTAAACTCTCTAACTTTACATTACCAGGACTTACTTCTCCATCAAGGTAAACTCTCTAACTTTACATTACCAGGACTTACTTCTCCATCAAGGTAAACTCTCTGACTTTACATTACCAGGACTTACTTCTCCATCAAGGTAAACTCTCTAACTTTACATTACCAGGACTTACTTCTCCATCAAGGTAAACTCTCTAACTTTACATTACCAGGACTTCTCCATCAAGGTAAACTCTCTAACTTTACATTACCAGGACTTCTCCATCAAGGTAAACTCTCTAACTTTACATTACCAGGACTTACTTCTCCATCAAGGTAAACTCTCTTCTCCATCAAGGTAAACTCTCTAACTTTACATTACCAGGACTTACTTCTCCATCAAGGTAAACTCTCTAACTTTACATTACCAGGACTTACTTCTCCATCAAGGTAAACTCTCTAACTTTACATTACCAGGACTTACTCTCTCCATCAAGGTAAACTCTCTAACTTTACATTACCAGGACTTACTTCTCCATCAAGGTAAACTCTCTAACTTTACATTACCAGGTAAACTCTCTAACTTTACATTACCAGGACTTACTTCTCCATCAAGGTAAACTCTCTAACTTTACATTACCAGGACTTACTTCTCCATCAAGGTAAACTCTCTAACTTTACATTACCAGGACTTCTTCATCAAGGTAAACTCTCTAACTTTACATTACCAGGACTTACTTCTCCATCAAGGTAAACTCTCTAACTTTACATTACCAGGACTTACTTCTCCATCAAGGTAAACTCTCTAACTTTACATTACCAGGACTTCTCCATCAAGGTAAACTCTCTAACTTTACATTACCAGGACTTACTTCTCCATCAAGGTAAACTCTCTAACTTTACATTACCAGGACTTACTTCTCCATCAAGGTAAACTCTCTAACTTTACATTACCAGGACTTACTTCTCCATCAAGGTAAACTCTCTAACTTTACATTACCAGGACTTACTTCTCCATCAAGGTAAACTCTCTAACTTTACATTACCAGGACTTACTTCTCCATCAAGGTAAACTCTCTAACTTTACATTACCAGGACTTACTTCTCCATCAAGGTAAACTCTCTAACTTTACATTTCCAGGACTTCTTCATCAAGGTAAACTCTCTAACTTTACATTACCAGGACTTCTCCATCAAGGTAAACTCTCTAACTTTACATTACCATGACTTACTACTAACTTACTTCTTTGTCTAGAGAGGCCTCAAGCTTGATATTACCAGGACTCATCATAAAGTCTTTGGTAGCCTCAGCGCTAGGTTGTGGGGCTGGTTCCACGGGAGCATATGTCAGCTTCCTTATCGCTAGACGAACTGAATTCCTGAAACAAAATATTCAAAGAATGTTAAATAAAGCAAAATAAGAAAACTAAGAATGAAAAATGCTTAATTTCTATACTTGTGAAACGAAAAATACGGACATAACTCTTATTTACTTTATAGTCATTAATTTCTGCAATGGTAAAGAAATTGGAAAACAGAGCACAAAATATGATTGATGTTGATTTAATATTCACCTGAAATACTTTACAAACATACCTCTTGTGTGGCTTTTCTTCTGCATTCTCTGCTACATAGGTCTTCAATTCGTAATCGACACCGCAGGGCTTCAAAATATATGTATAAGATATCACAAAGCACTGTAAAATCATTAAATATCAAGGGTTTCCTTTAATTTCCACCGATAAACAAATCCATATGTGCACAAAATGATTATGCAGAAAGAATATATATTTCAGCACTAGCAGAGTTTTTGAGGACTTTTTTTATAAAATCAAATGTCAATGAAATTGTATTCTTCCAAGAAAATGAGTCCCACAAAAATAAGATTTAACTGAAGATGATATTTTGCACCCACCTCCTGATCAGAAATAAGACACGGCAAGTGTGATAATAAATTTACAAAATACAACCTTTTTGTTTCAAACGTAATCAGGAAAGACCTTTGACCCTTTAACCATCACTGAGGACCATTAAAATCTTAGAAAAATTGGATCTTGATGACGTGATGTCAATGTGATCTTAGTCCTAGCTTTACACTCTGTAGGCTCATTTGTCTGGACAAGACATGTAGAGCTTAGCTCATCAGATGGACAAGACATGAAGTAGCTTAGCTCATCAGATGGACAAGACATGAAGAGCTTAGCTCATCAGATGGACAAAGACTTGTTCATAAAAGACATGAAGTAGCTTCTCTTGTCAGATGGACAGACATGGGTTGCTTCCCTTGTCAGATGGACACACACATGAAGCAGTTTCTCTTGTCAGATGGACAGACATGGGTAGCTTCCCTTGTCAGATGGACAGACATGGGTTGCTTCCCTTGTCAGATGGACAGACATGGGTAGCTTCCTTTGTCAGAAGGACAGACATGGGAAGCTTCTCTTGTCAGATGGACAGACATGGGTAGCTTCTCTTGTCAGATGGACAGACACGGGTAGCTTCCCTTGTCAGATGGACAGACATGGGAAGCTTCTCTTGTCAGATGGACAGACATGGGTAGCTTCTCTTGTCAGATGGACAGACATGGGAAGCTTCTCTTGTCAGATGGACAGACATGGGTAGCTTCTCTTGTCAGATGGACAGACATGGGTAGCTTCCCTTGTCAGATGAATAGACAGGGTAGCTTCCCTTGTCAGATGGACAGACATGGGTAGCTTCCCTTGTCAGATGGACACACACATGAAGCAGTTTCTCTTGTCAGATGGACAGACATGGGTAGCTTCCCTTGTCAGATGGACAGACATGGGTAGCTTATCTTGTCAGATGGACAGACATGGGTAGCTTCCTTTGTCAGATGGACAGACATGGGTAGCTTCCCTTGTCAGATGGGCAGACATGGGTAGCTTCCCTTGTCAGATGGACAGACATGGGTAGCTTCCCTTGTCAGATGGACAGACATGGGTAGCTTCCCTTGTCAGATGGACACACACATGAAGCAGTTTCTCTTGTCAGATGGACAGACATGGGTAGCTTCCCTTGTCAGATGAATAGATAGGGTAGCTTCCCTTGTCAGATGGACAGACATGGGTAGCTTCTCTTGTCAGATGACATGGGTAGCTTCCCTTGTCAGTTGTCAGATGGACAGACATGGGTTGCTTCCCTTGTCAGATGAACAGACATGGGTAGCTTCCCTTGTCAGATGGACACACACATGAAATAGCTTCACTTGTCAGATGGACAGACATGGGCAGCTTCCCTTGTCAGAAATGGGTTGCTTCCCTTGTCAGATGAACAGACATGGGTAGCCTCCCTTGTCAGATGGACATACATTGATAGCTCAGATTGACAAAGAAACATTCAGACAGACTTGTATAGCTTACCTTGCCTGTATCTCCAGGGGCCGGCTGTAGAGTCACAGAGGCAGGTGCGTTTGGTGGCAGCTGAAATGAAACAGATTTGTATAAATATTAAATAAAGAGAACTTGAATTTAGGTCAAGGTTATTTCTTTATGCATACAAGGTAATGAGTCAAAGTAATTTGCAAACCTAATCAGGCTTCATCCTAGGTTCCTACCAGTCATATATCATGATTCTAGGACTTTCGGTTTTTAAGAGGAAGTCATTTAAATTGAATAGTTGACACGGCATACATGCCAGATGCCACACCACAGCATAAAATTATTCTCCTCTAAATCACCAAACTCTTACCTCAAAAAAGAACGGATAAGCATTTGGGCCCAGCTTTTTTATGAGGCGTTCCTGGAGCCGTGTCAGAGGTTTCTCTTGGTCCTTTCCTGGTGGGTACACCTGCACCGAGGCCAGGTAAAGATCTTTACGGAAGGTCAGACCTAACACATCCAGATCTTCTCGACCATAACGGAATGCAGCAAGGATATGTGCAAATACCTTGCGTTCCTTGAGGTACTCGGGATCCACCAATATAACGCCATCTGCAATTAAAAATTTTCAATTTTGTTCTTCATACATCATCTTTTATTTTGTAAATAAATATTGTATGAATAAAGGGGTAATGCATGGTTAGGGAATAAAGAACTTGTTGAGGTTCTAGCAGGCTCTAGGGTGGACAGAATCTTCTAGTTCTTGTTGTGCATTATAAGGCTGATAACAGCTAACGAGAAATGTAAGACATTGGGTAGTTTATATTCCTTCTACCCATCATAAGTATATAACATTCAAGTGTAGGTTAATACTTATAATGGTTTACAAGTTTAAGAAGAGAAGGCCAGACAAAATTTTTCTGCAAGGTCTTCTTTTGATTACTATGGAAACCTTAGGACAACCAATGCACAGGAAAAAAACCCATTGTATTTATTTTTCCTGAAAACTTTATTAAATAAACCAGTTTTCAGCTAAATCAGACAATCTCATAATTTCTCAAATGTTGGTTTTCAGAAGACCTAATGTGTCAAGTTAAATGCTTTGATTAGTTGCAATAGTTCCAACTGACAAAGTTTGGACAAAATTACGGCTGAAGACCTCTTAATACAGAAGCTCAAGCACAGTGACCAGGTTACCATGGCAACCAAAAATTTGGACACAAAAGTAAAAACACATGCATGATCCTCAATATTCAATCAAAATTTCATTGAAATTGATTTACAAGTTTAATTAAGACTTATCTTGACAAATTCCCTTCTAGATGGATGGAAAGACAGACGGACAGACAAGCTGGTTCTAGTATTCCGTCCAAATTCTGCTTTGGGGTTTTGAATGAATGATACTTCATCTATACTTTCTTCAAACATTCCAAACTTTTTGTCAGGAAAGATGATAGATGTTATTCATCTGTGTATATAATGTTTAGTATTGTATTCATGTAACTGTCTCCCACATACCTAGCCATTGAATATATTGACTGTTATTCATTATTTTTAATTCAAGCATAAATTGTGTCTTCTGTATCTGAAGTTTAATGTTTCTACACTTTCCACATGGAGTCTCTCTCTGTTCCTAGGTTTACTACCAGCAATTAGTGCACAACTATTGTGTTTTTGTAAGTGCAAGCACTAATTAGCTTAAATACATGTATACACGTACCGCTTGTCCACTGAAAGACTGAAATAGTGGACGTAAAACTTGCTGGATAAATAAACTACATGTTCTAAATGGTGAAACCAAGCTAATGACACACCATATGTTTTACTTCCAGAATGAGATCTGAGGCTAAGAACTGTGAATTAAATGTTTCTAAGCGAGGGCGTATAGATGAGGTTTTCTCTGTACCAAGGACCGTAAACAGAGCAGTTTTACAGTCATCATAATGATCGTAATGGGAATATTTTGTATCCTTGTACAATATGAAGTTGCTCTTTAGTTTGCCTACAAGTTACATTCTTCTATCCTTTGTTCTCGTTTGGGATTAACCAAGAATACAATGGAGCATGTAGTTGATGAACAAAAGATGTGTACTCTTCTGGAACACCTGGTCTTATTTTTCTAATTTTTATTCAGGAGTCTTTGTGTGTAAATCTTGTTTTTGCTTATATTGTGTCCCAGTTTCATCAACATTGTGTTTATATCAAGATTTTGTAGACATATTTCTACATTCCTTCTTGTAAGGATCAGGTACAGTATAGTACAGTACAGTGTAGTGTAGTGTAGTATAGTGTAGTGTAGTACAGTACAGTGTAATGTAGTGTAGTATAGTGTAGTGATGTGTAGTGTATAGTGTAGTGTAGTGTGGTGTGGTGTGGTGTGGTGTGGTGTGGTGTAGTGTAGTGTAGTGTAGTGTAGTGTAGTGTAGTGTAGTGAAGTGTAGTGTAGTGTAGTGTAGTGTAGTGTAGTGTAATGAAGTGTAGTGTATAGTGTGGTTTGGTGTAGTGTAGTAGTGTAGTGTATCGTGTAGTGTAGTGTAGTGTATAGTGTAGTGTAGTGTAGTGTAGTGTAGTACAGTACAGTGCAGTGCAGTGCAGTGCAGTGCAGTGCAGTGTAGTGTAGTGTAGTGTATAGAGTAGTGTAGTTTAATGTAGTTTAGTGCAGTGAAGTGTATAGTGTAGTGTGGTGTAGTGTAGTGTTGTGTAGTGCATAGTGTAGTGTGGTGTAGTGTAATATAGTGTAGTGTAGTGTAGTGTGGTGTGGTGTAGTGAAGTATCAGGAGAGTGCTCAATAGAAGAAACATCTCACACAAAGTCTATATCCATTTTAGTTTCAGAATTTTTTGTGAACAATCCCAGAAGTATTTTTATCTCGTTATAATGATGTAAGTGCTACTGTTCAGGTAGATGCGTGTATGATCCTGAATTTCTCTACGTCTCATTATACAAAATTTGTGGAAAGTTTAGCACAAGCTAAGCTAATTTTAAAATTCTAAATTGTGACCACACTGTTGAAATGTAATAAGTTCAGAATTATTGAGAATTCCTACCAGGTGTAACTACATGTACACAGTAAACACAACCTTTTGTGAAGTTCTACACAGCCATTTCATTTAACAGATTTCAGCATACCAGAGCTCTGGGCTGTGTCTGATTGCATACTAGCTAAGCTGATACGTTGGTATCTGTTGTGTAGATTTTCCATCAAACACAACATATACGCTGTTTCACAGTCACATGATATGTAATTATGTTTCTGAATAATTATCACAGCACTAACATACATCAACTGGGCAGGTTATTACAGATCATGCAACGCAACTGCTACAAGAATGCCTGGCTGTTTGTTTGTTTGTTTGTGTGCTGGGTTTCTCGCCCCAAGAACAGCCAGAAGAGTAATTTTGAGGCAGAAATTCCTTTCAGAAGCCATTGGCTACCTTGGTGGCTACCTGCATGGCTATCTTGTTGGCTATCTTGGTGGCTACCTGCATGGCTATCTTGTTGGCTACCTTGGTGGCTATCTTGGTGGCTACCGTGGTTGCTTTCTTGGTGGCTATCTTGGTAGCTATCTTGGTAGCTACCTCAGTGACTATCTTGGTGGCTACCTTGGTGGCTACCTCACTGAACATGCTGTTGGAGGCCTTTCACATGCCATTCGGTGCAATAAGGACTGTCCCAAACGAACATGGCCATGACAGCAAAGAACGATTCATTTCTCTGCTGCAGAGACATACAAACTACCACTGAGAGAGAACACAAGCCAACACCCTCTCAAAACCTGTGATGTCTATAAAAGACATTAAAATATTTGACAAAATAAACATTTGCAAATTTGAATCTTACATATAATCTTTTATCTGAACAATGGGAATCTGCGTTATTGGCAGAACAGATGCTGATGTCAGAGCAATGTGTAGCGTCATTACTAAACCAACAGATTGTGGGGACAGTTTTTTTTCAACAATAAAGTACAATCAGAGAAGATTACAACCATCATGTCTGAATTTTCCAGTGCCCTTCTATGCATTATTTTTCCATCATTTACATCTCCAATGAGGATTCAGAACACAACCCATCTCATCAATTCTTTCCTGTCTAAGCAAAAACAAGGTTTTTTCTCAAAGATGGCAACTAGGGCTGCCACTTTGAAAGTGGCCGAGGTCTAATTTTCAATCAGAAATATCTGTCGATAAACTCATTTCACTAGTCAAAACAACTCTCCATCCTGTTCATGATGTCCAGTTATAGATAAACCAATTTGTTTCATGATTTTTGACACGGCAGTAATTTTCAAAGCTGTAGTTCAAATTTCAGTAAGAACCGTTTTTGGATCAACCCAAATCTCTAGTTAAAGTCAGGTCTAAATGTACTGAAATCGAGTAAGTGTAGATTTGAAAAAAAAATTATTTTGGTGGTGGTTTGATCTTTGCGAATATTCTTAATCAATAAAATCATATGTCCACAAGCAGTTACAATAAGTATACGTAGATTTATTGAGTTTTATTTATCCACTAAATTTAAAGTCCACAAAAAAGTATTTAAAAAAAAAAACATCAAAAATTAAACTCCACAAAAAGATATATGATTTTAACATCTTTTTTATTTTTAAAGATGGCAACCATGGTGACCATCTTGAATGCAGCAGATGTCTGATTTTCGTGTGGGCCTATAGCTACTTTGGAGCACGCCCTCCCCAGTAATTAAAAGCCTGTCCCTTCATCAATATACGTACAGTACACACTGGTTCAATCACCTTGTTAAGTAATTAATGAAAGTACACATGACATTGTGAAAAAGTAATTACTATTGTCATATATTTGTTTGTGTAATTAATTCAATTACCTGTGCTTTTTTCAATTTGATTAATTACACCTTTCTTTTGTCAAAACCTTTTGTTTTACTTACATAAGGTATGTGACTGGACTGATAAAACATTTCATTACAGAAATCCAGGCTAAATGACACGATGTTTCTCTATTTATCGTTGTTTGTCAGGCAAGATATTAAAATACAGTCGACAGACTTCATTTATGTTTTCTATTGATCAATAATGATTAACTACATTCACCAACATCCCCCGCCACAACCCATCCCAGTTCTAAACACCCTCAAACTGCATAGCTCCAGGACAAACAGCATTATGGTCAAACATGTCACACTTACGTTATACTGAACTGTGTCTGATGATGCACGTTGAAGTAATTGCTCTGTGTGAAGATTAAATTCCACACTTCGATGGATATAAAATGCAATTTCAAGCATGTTTGTCAATGAATGTTTTTGTAAATAAATACAACAAAATAAATAAGACAGTATTTCTGTCAAATCTATGCACATGATTACCAGTAGATACTGCTATTTTCCAGGACAGCCAAATGCAGCAAAACATATGTGGCAGGTATATTCTGAAATTGCAGAATAATCGTATTTCAGTGGCATATATACACTATTTCACCTGGCGTGTGACTTTTTGATACTTACCTACTGGGTCTATGTGTGTCAAGTGGTCTATGAAATCTCTCTTTCCGAGGTAGGCTGTTATCTACATAAAAAAAAACAGCTCTGTTAGTAACAACAGTGTGACACTATAGCTATAACCTCAAAAAAGCCTATAGGAAGGGACACTGAAGAGTACAGCCTATAGGAACCGACACTATAGCCTATATCCTACAAGGATGAACACTTTAGCCTATAACCTTCAGGAATGAACACTGAAGAGTACAGCCTATAGGAACAGACACTATAGCCTATATTCTACAGGAATGGACACCATAGCCTATAACCTTCAGGAATGAACACTGAAGAGTACAGCCTATAGGAACAGACACTATAGCCTATATTCTACAGGAATGGACACTATAGCCTATATCCTACAAGGATGAACACTTTAGCCTATAACCTTCAGGAATGAACACTGAAGAGTACAGCCTATAGGAACAGACACTATAGCCTATATTCTACAGGAATGGACACCATAGCCTATAACCTTCAGGAATGAACACTGAAGAGTACAGCCTATAGGAACAGACACTATAGCCTATATTCTACAGGAATGGACACCATAGCCTATAACCTTCAGGAATGAACACTGAAGAGTACAGCCTATAGGAACAGACACTATAGCCTATATTCTACAGGAATGGACACTATAGCCTATAACCTTCAGGAATGAACACTGAAGAGTACAGCCTACAGGAACGGACACTGAAGAGTACAGCCTACAGGAACAGACACTATAGCCTATATCCTACAAGAATGAACACTTTAGCCTATAACCTTCAGGAATGAACACTGAAGAGTACAGCCTATAGGAACAGACACTATAGCCTATATTCTACAGGAATGGACACCATAGCCTATATCCTACAAGGATGAACACTTTCGCATATAACCTTCAGGAATTAACACTTTATTCTGCAGCCTACAGTAACAAACACTGAAGAAAACAGGAACTGACATTATTGCATGTATCCTACAAGGATGAACACTATAGCCTATAGCCTACAGTCTATAACCATCAGGAATGAACACTTTATTCTGCAGCCTACAGTAACAAACATTGAAGAGACCAGAAACGGAAACTATTGTGTGTATCCTACAAGGATGAACACTTTAGCCTATAGCCTACCAGGCTGGACACTTTAGCCTATAGCCTACCAGGATGAACACTTTAGCCTATAGCCTACACTACACTACAGTCTAATGCTCTGTAATAGGAACGAACACATCCATCAATTCCTGGGAAATTACAACAAAATGGGCTACATGTTCTTAAATTGTAGTACATAATTTATCAAATGTCAGCAACAGAATTGATCATTATGGCTAAAATGGCTATTACCAGACAAGGATTGTACTTAGTTTTATAACATCCACAACATCAATGTTGTTTAACAAATCCCTGTGGTCTTTATTTTGTAACAAGAGAGAGAAAGTACAACATGCCAACTGGGAATTCAACCTCTCTAAACTCTAAGCTTGGCACTTCAACCAACTAAATCTGTAATCAACCTATAGCACCAATACTTATGCAATAAAATATTATAGAAAACAAATCCCTAAACGTTTCTAGAGTGAAAAGTATTCTTGGCAAATTATTCAACTTCAGAAAAAAGCTTTTAGAAAACAGAAGCACTACCTAAAAATCCTAGAGTGAAAATTGTATTTTGCAAATTACCAAAGTGAAGGGAAAAACATTTTGACACTAGGATACACTGCAAATATACAATGTTAGTCGATTCTCCTGTAATTATTTACATAGATCTTGTGTGGACAACCTACGATACTGTCCTACTTAATAGTACATATTGCACCTTCCTTGTAGCAGTATAAATAACACTAAATACAATTAATTATGCATGCACAACACTGTAATAAATCATATTTCATTATTCCTTGGAGTTTTAAACATGAACATCTTGAACGTAACCGTCGTTATTCCTCTTAAAAGTTATTCTGTCTTTTTGTTTCTGTTTTGAGCTAATTTGAAACTTCAATCAAAATTGAATATTTGTGTCTCCCTTATTTGCATAGTAATTATAAATTTAAGTGGTGTATTTGTGTAGAATAATTTTGTGTACGCACCTTTCCATTGGGACTGCTCTTTTTAAACACCCTGAAAAGATAAAATTAACAAAATTGGTAATAAGATCTCGAAATGGAAAAAAAGAAAGAAAAGTTTACAACAGTGAAAAATTCAAATAACAAAGGAAAGTCACACACGCACGCACGCACGCACACACGCACGCACACACACACACACGCACGCACACACACACACGCACACACATACACACACACACACGCACACACGCACACACGCACACACGCACACACGCACACACACACACACACACACACACACACACACACATATATATTAAAATGGAAATTGATCAAGCATCCATCATAAATATATACAAGAATCAAGGTGGGGTGTGGGGAGGGGGGAGTGTTTAAGGAGAAGAAGCATATAACACATTGATAACCGGTTTCTTGACATGCAATAACATAATTTGTCACAATGAATGAAAAAACTGAAATTAAAAATATCTAATTATATAATATGTATTTTCAAAATACTGAAAACAATAAGCATTGAAATCTTGTGTTGATAGTAAATGAAATTCTTTAAATCAGTGTTGTTTACATTAATAAAAAGTGAAAAGAAAGTGAATTGATCAATTTCTTTTTCAGTTAAAGTTGACTAACTGTCATAATTATGTTCTTAAAATAGAAAGTTCCATTACAGATATGACAAATAAAGGAACGATACTGGTAAATCAATAAACAATAACAAAACCATATTAGGTAAAGTGTCATGTTTATATACATGTGCAGGAATATAGATTTACACACAATACATTGTGTCCAGTTCAGTGCATAGAGTACAGCATCACGATACAGAGGCTGAAATCCTTTACAGTAAATAACTACAGTTAGAGAAGCTGAAATCTTTTACAGAAAATTACCATGGTTACAAAGGCTGAAATCCTTTACAGTAAATTACCATGGTTACAAAGGCTGAAATCCTTTACAGTAAATTACCATGGTTACAAAGGCTGAAATCCTTTACAGTAAATTACCATGGTTACAAAGGCTGAAATCCTTTACAGTAAATTACCATGGTTACAGAGGCTGAAATCCTTTACAGTAAATTACCATGGTTACAAAGGCTGAAATCCTTTACAGTAAATTACCATGGTTACAGAGGCTGAAATCCTTTACAGTAAATTACCATGGTTACAGAGACTGAAATCTTTTACAGTAAATTACCATGGTTACAGAGGTTGAAATCCTTTATAAGTTAATAATTAAATAAAAACTTTCCATTTGAGACGGGATTAATGAAATGAGTAAAAGAATCCTCAAATTTCGCGAGCCTCTGGTGAGTTGAAATAAAATCTTTGTGGATCATAAATCATATCTTGTATAATCGGTTATTAAGGCATATATCATAGAAAACACACACATTTCAACGTCAAACCTGAATTCTGCTCTATATCAGCAGAGAATCAGCTCCTTTGTTATGTTACAAATTGTGTAATCTTTATGTATGTGACGTTGTAGCGTTATCTAAACCTGACTGTTTAATACGTAAATAATGTATGGGTAAATTTAGCAAGTATACGATTTCATTGTTCTGTTATTAGCCACAAAGCGATGTATTGGTATCCCCTGGGCTTATTGTGGGATAAGTATAGTAGAACCATATCAGTGTCAAATTCCTGTAGAAAATCTGAAACTGTAGTATTTATCGAGACTAAAAGGATTCACCTATGGTGACAAATCATTATTGTTGCCTTCTCCAGCTGAGACAAAGTAATAGCACTGTATTAATGTGTCATGACTAGAAAAAAAAAATGGGTGTATTCCGTTTTATAAAACCTCGGCTAGATAATGGGACAGTCCAGTTATTGGTAGGTGGATTTACGAGTATTGATAGTAAATTAACTCATTAAATGCCATGATAAAACCAGTACTTCATCAAATCTGGAAAAGAAAATCTATTTATAGCAAGCGTGTCATTGATCTTTTGCCAGCTGACCCAAGCAGCAGTTCTGAGAAAGCGAGAAGAGAAAATATCACATTGGACAATCAAAGTGTAAGTATAAATTGAATCACTATTGTCTTGGGAGTAAACGGTGAAACAGAAAAACCAGATGTCGGAAACTTATAGGTGCCGAATTATCCCTGGAGGATTAACACCAACACAAATAATTCTACCAAGGGCACCAAACGACTACCTAACTATGTGTAGAAAGGTTAAAGCTGTTGAAAAGAAACCATTAGAAAGTAATATCCGCCCAAATCCTGCTCGTAATTGCCAACGAAATTGTTTCTTATTGTCTAGTGTTGTCTGAAAACATTTTTTTTTTTAAGAAATAAGCAACATTGTGTCAAAGACGTGAATCTGAGCAGGGCTGTCAGATTGTATGTACATGTTCTGTATTTCCGTATTATCGTCTATTTGGTTTTATTTATACTGTATACATGAATCATTCTACCAGGTCCAGAGTTTATCTTTGCTCTATCTTTAAAAATATCTCCTCGGCAAATTTGTCTTTAATTCATAAGAAGAAATATTTCAGCTTCAACTTCAAACTTCAGCAGTTGATTCATTTTTGACAAAATGTCAGAATCAGCAAGCATTAGACCACTACGAAAATATCTTAAGCTACAGTAAACTAGCCAGGGAGTTGCTGTACTCCTGGTGTTCTGAATGAAATCCAGCACATAAACGTTATGACATAAAAATGTTTGCCTTAGACACAGTGACTACACTCACTTGTCAATTTGGCTGTTTAACTTGACAAATTACACTGATGGTAATGAATACTTTATTTTAGTTTAAATCCAATTTTAATAAATGGAAGAGATTGATGTGAATTTGGAGCGTTTTACTGTATTTTATGGCGATACATCATTGTAAATAAAGAGGTTTGCACACATATTACAAATATACTGTGCTAGTGCAATATATCGTCTGCCTGTGAGTTTCTTCCATTTCAGTGAGTATAAATTCCACAACATTTAGAATCAGTTCAATGTTTAAGAATTTATTACAAAGGAAGCTGTAAGGGAGCATGCAGCATCAATTTTGTGTGTTTTCGTGTGATTAAGGCTAATACTGTGCCAACATATATATAATATGTCATTGACCTAAACCCTGGCTTAATAAATGCTGTAAGCTTTGTTTCCATTTTGTTTTCCAGTGTCTTCACAAAGTCTTATAAAACTGCTTGAAAGCTAGAAAAGTTTTGCACAACACAAAACCAATATTCACCAAATACTACAAAATAAAATTGTTTGAAAACTAGAAATATTTTCTACAACATAAGGTCCCCCTTCCCCTGTGTAAAAATGTTATTGATTTTTTTAAAGAGATTTACTCATGACCTTCAACAGTGTGTCTTATATTTGTTGACCAAGGCAGATAACTAGTTGACTTAACGCAAACACTACAACTACAAATTTTCAATATCCCCATCCAGCTCTGAGAATATGAGCAGAAACTGGGCATTTGTGGACAATTCTCTATGTTAAGGGTGCCAAATAAATATCTGACCTGAATTTTTCGTTACACAACTACTGTTACTGCATGTCAAAAATCAATTCAATTTAATATCATTAACATCATCCGCCAAAGTGTACATGAGCAAATCTAGAAATCAAATCATGATAAAATGGTGGCTTGGGGCAACACTACTTGTGGGTCAACATGATTTTAATCATGGGCCTATTTATCAAAGTGTATCGTATCACCTGTACATCTCAGCTATTGTACATCATGTAAATTACTGATACCAGAATATCTACATCTCGATTCATTTACACTGCAAGAAAAATCATTTCTTTACGAATTCATTGAAGGATTATTCACACTGTGTTAAATTAACCATATTTCCAGTTTCTATACTTCTGTCAGTATATAAAGAAATACAGAATTTTTCAAGTGTGTTTTTTCTTTTTTTAAATTTGAAACATGATCTTCAAAATATTACAACATATGAAAATCAAGTTTTAACCAAAAAGGAGTATAAATGGATTTCCAATGTACCATCACTTCCATTTTTTTTTCTCCATACCACACATTTCTTGATATTAAAGCCATTTTGCCTTTAGGATAATACTCGGGTGTATTCCAGTGATATTTAGCACAATATTGATTAGCTTGACACATTGATAATTATGAAGCATTTACTAACTGGAAATCATATACCAGTCAAATTTACATCGACCAGATTTCATCAGACGAAAACCTCGCCAGAATTGCATTAATCTTATTAATATCGTATTAACTATTAATGCTTCATAGCTACAGTCATATATCAGACAACTGGCAAAATCGTCATGGAGTATGATAATTAAAATTGTTAACACTGTGCTTCAATAGTAAGAATAGAAATGAAGAGCTAATTGTTTCAAAATTAATTCATAAACCGACCATCCACTCAAACGGCCTTTCAGCCGTTAGGTAGATGAGTTTTAATTCATAACAGGTCTGCTACACTGGCAGGACATAAAGTTGGGATCATGAGAAAAAATGTTTACCAATGAAAATAAAACTTACATAAATTTTTGACAAGCCTTACCCAATGAAAATGAAGCTTACATCAAATTTTCATATGCCATTTCCTCAACGAGTGTGATGATGCCAGTGATTTGACAAACAATTTTTTCTGTGTGATTACAATAATACTCAGCGCAAAACTGTCAAGTGTTTTCAATATTGTGCTTCGTTCTCAAGAATTGAAAAAATTGAGAAAATATTTTAAAACATAATTATAAGAAAAGAAAACCTGCAGTATGTCCCTGATTTTATCATTAATCTGTAGTTATTTTCAACATAATCTTGGCGTGGTACAAGAATCCGTAATTTGTATACTCCTTTTCTTTGCCGATATATATACATACCCACTGTGTACAGAAAACAATAATAGGGAAGAAAAGAAGGAAATTAAAAGCAAGGATCAACAAAGATAGCAACACAAATAAAAAATATCAAAAGTAAACAAACAACAAGAGGTCCATGGGGAATGTATTGTTCATCTGATAAAGTTCACTGAAAATGCTTTAACTACAGGAAAAATGATTCCCCTATTAGGTAACACC